TTCCTAAGGGAATCTCAAGAAAGATACAACACATTAACTAAGTCTCCCATGATAATAGCAACTGCTTTTTGGTAAACACTTCAAAAGCAATCCTGAGCGATCAAACCCAAATCACCTATTATAATTGGTAAATTTTAAAAGGAAATGAGTGCTCAAAAAGTGATGCTATGTCAGTAATAAGACACAGTCATGATAGGATAATTTTTTTCTTTTAACTCTGAAAAATGTTGGGATTTTTTTCATGGTATGTAGCCAAGGAGACAGATGCACAGGGAGGCAGGAATACAAGATTTACGGTAGAATAGGGCCATGAGAAGGAACAGAGATCGTAAAATCACACTCTTTCCTCTGATTAAGGACAATCAGGTTCAACAAGGCTGGGAGAAACAGAAGGAATAAATATATGAAACTTCACTCTGCCTTGGGAATACATCTAATGTACTATAGATATATTGGCTTTAATAGAAAATCCCTACAGCCCAAGATACAGGTTTCTGTTCCAGCAGGTGAGCAATTCCAACTCATTTAAGTGTTGCTCTGTGCACCCAAAGGCAGAAAAGTCTTGGTCTGCAAGTAAGTGGTTAAGCAAGTGAGACTGCACATGGACCCTGGTAAAACTGCCTTGGTCGGGGACAGAAGATACATTCAGGTGCCAGCAAAAATTGGTCAGGCACAAAGCTAAAGTTTTCATTAGTATTAATTTTAAAAGTCAACAAAATGTATGTGTAGTGGAGGTACAGCTGCCCTAGGGTCTGGGGGGTTATAATTTGGCTGTACTGTCTGATTTACACATTCTAATTCTAAAGCAGTTGGATGTCCATGGCTGTCTAACCTCCAAGAAAGTACTTTCAAAAAGAATGAAAATCATATATATCACTTTCTGAAACATTAAAATAAGAATCCTATAGTAGAAAATTAATAAGAAAACTCTAGCTCAATGATGGGAATTCAAAAATTGTCATAATTTGCATTTTTTGACTTAATATTTTATATTTATTCTTAATCTTAGCATCATATTTTTTACCTAATCTGGTTTTAAAAATTCTGCTAATAGAAAACCTAGAAAATTGAATGCAAAAGGAATCTTTGCTCTAGAATTTAAAAAGGTCCTACCCAAAATATTTTAAAATTTGACTAGTAATATAAAATATCATTCTTTCACGGTTTATATTTTTCTGTAGCAATGATGGCACTAGTATTATGTACTCTGCCTTCACCTGACACAATAATTGATAAGTCTTAAAACTTGCTCCACTGGGATGATGCTAACTGTAGTTAGTATCTATCAGAATGGCAAAGTCATCCTTCTGAAGTTAATGTTATTTATTGCCTCAGCATAAATAGTTCAGACTTCAAAACTGCCACATAAAAAGGCATGAAAGAGAAACATTTCTTAGTTTCAAGTAACTTATTTTTTTTTTAAAGATTGCACTGCTTTTAAAAATGTATTTTACTCTGGGAAGACACCAAATGAGTCTGCCGTATCTTGGTCCACCCTCTGACCTTGACACATCTGGCTGTCACTATTTTAATTTTTTATATTGAACCTGAACATCTTGATGGGATTTTGTCCTGAGTGAAGGCATACGTAACAGTATGAAATTGTTCTACACTACGAGTCAATAAAGTAAACTGTGAATCTGAAAAACCATTATGATAGTATTATTATATTTATGATGGCATAACATGAATTATTGTCTTACTGTCAAGAAACATATTCTCAATAAGAAGCAGAATCCTATTAAAGCAACATTTTATTCAAGGTTTTATATTCTCTGCCAATTTGAGCTTGATTAAAATATAAAGGAAAGGATTATTGCACTTACTTAATCATATGTGGCACAGTAACTTTGGAATTCTCTTCAAACACTATAGTCATTAAACCATTACATCGTATATTGTCCACACACTGTGAAATTAAAAAACAGGCAATTACAACCCACGTGAAAACCTAGGCAGATCATTCATTCCCAGAATTGTTTATAGCCAAAAAAAATTTCATTTTCTATCTCTCTCTCTCTCTCTCTCTCTCTCTCACTCACACACACACACACACACACACACACACACAAAGCAGCAGGTGAATACTACACATTGATGAACACATTCAATATCTGGATACTAAAACTGTGTACCAACCAAATGCCTGACAAATACCCGAAGACAGACTCAACAGCTGTATTTTCCTGGAATGTGTTTCTCAAGAATTCTCACCACAATGTCACTTCAACATAATTCTCTGGCTGTGCCAACACTACTTGAGAGCTTTAGGCCTTCTGATCGCGATTGCCCCTGCTATATTCATTTCCTGCAACCAGGGGGTAGTATGGAGTAGTTAGATTAGAAACGGTGGCTTCCTTGGATGGAATTCGTCTTCTGTCTCAATAGAAAGCACTGTGCCTGCTTCTCAGGTGTTTTCTGCCAATAAATTCCCACATTTTACTGGTATCTGTAACAGTTTTCATTGACACCATGTTGGTTTGGTGAGGGAGGGCTGTGTAATTTCTCCAGACTCTGGCCTGCTTAAAGCCCTGTATCATCTTTTCCTCTTTTCTAAGAGGAGAACTCAGAAACTTCTGCTAATTTTCTCTGCCTCCGTGTTTTAATCTATGCCTTATCAATTTGAAATTTTCCTCTGCAACGACTTTGGGTTAGAGAAGAATTTATTTTGAATTATACACATTCCCATAGAACAAAATAGCAAAATTTTAAAAAATAAAACAATTCTTAAAAACAAAAAATTGCTTCTGGTCACTAGGATACCATATAGTGCTTTGTGACTGCAACTGAACGGTACACAGAAGCTGATTGCAATGTGACCTCACACAGGTCCTGAACTCAGGATCTGCCTTAAACTTGAAGTTCTAATAAAAGGGCAAATATGCATATAAGAAACTTTACGTCATTGGAATCCTGACTATTCAGTCTACGTAGGAGATCAGCCATTTTCATAGTTGTTTTTCCTTAAAATTTTGCTATTCTCACATCTTATGCTATTATTGCAACTACCAGGTATAAAGGATACTAACTTATGGGGAGAAAGTGAATTATTTTAAAGTTCCCCTTCAATATATTTCCTTAAACTACAGCATCTGGAAATACTTTGAAGTTATGGTTTTTATATAAATAATTATGGTTATCTAACTATAAATTTGGTTAGATGTGTTTATCTGTGAATTTATACTCCATCTCGTTCACACAACCGAGTACAAAAACACATATAATAAGACAAAAGTCAAAATAAGCAAGAAAGTCAGAGAGGATTTAGACAAAGAATGGAAAACAGTATGATGAAGCTTTAAGTGGGTCTCAAAATTAGCTGGGCTATGGAGCAGCTGACTCAGAGAGGGGCATGGTTAGTTACAAAATTCACAGTTTAGTAGAAATCAATTAACCCTAGTCTGAGACCAGAGAGAAAGATTATCTCATGGGTTCTCATAAAAGAAAAATATTGAATAATGTAGTGAACAATGTCCTCAACAATATCTTTAAAGTACCTACAAGTTTTACCAAACTGTTTTGTATAAACTCCCTCAACATTGGTTGAAAGTACAATTCCAAACAAACAACCCAGTAGTGGCCCCCAAAGAATGCGATCTGGAGGTCCAGCCTCTCTGCTGGTCTGGCTCCCAGCACGAGTTTCACGCTCTCCAGAAAAGGGCACAGGCAGCTCTCCTTCAAGATCAATAAATGCTGCTTCTCTCATCCTACTTCGTGTAAGTGTCGAGCTGCAGGAAGTTGGAAATGGCGTTCTCCCCCAAATCCTGAAACCGCAGTACCCCGTGTGCCCTGTTATGTACTCAGTGTCTGCACCAGTGAGTCAAGCTGCCAGCTGGTGGGGTGCCCTGTTGGGCCAGGAGAAAAGCCACACCACCTCCGAGGGAGAGCTCTCAGTCAGGGCCGGATGAAAATATCTATCAAGGGCCCCATTTCAAAGTGGGAACACACGGAAGAAAGAAGAGATGGGCTGGCTGGTGCTTGTGTCTCCAATGCAGAAGAAAGTGACAGAGAGCACTGAAGAAGTCAGTTGGAGTCAGGAGGGAGTCAGAAGGGAGTCTTGAGTTTGGATTTTATCCTATAGGCAGATGGGAAGCCACCGAGGATTTCTAAGCAGTTCATTTATGTTGAGATCTGAACTGGCCTCATGGTGCTAAAGAGGGACGAATAAATGGAGACCCAAGGGATCAGCAACAGCAGTCTCCAACCTTTTTGACACCAGGGACCGGTTTTGTGGAAGACAGTTCTTCCACGGACGAGGGCTGGGGGGACCTGACCACCTCGGCTCCACCTCAGATCATTAGGTGTTGCATTCTCATGGGGAACGCGCAACCTGGATCCCGCGCATGCGCAGTTTGCAGCGAGGTTCGTGCTCACCAGATGGAGGGGGGTGGGGGGCAGGGCTCTGGCAGTGATGCCAGCGAGGGGAACGGCTGTGGGTGCAGGTGGGGCTTCCCTCGCTTGCCTCCGGCTGCGTGGCCCAGTTCCTAGCTGGCACCGGTTCACGGCCCAGGGCTTGGGGACCGCAGATCATCAGAACAATATTCTGAGTCAATAAATGAAATGATTTGTAGCTCCCCTGAGGCAGACTGTGGGAATGAAGAGGAAAGGGTGTGGATATCTGTTTTGAAGAAAGAAATGATAAAAATGGATGAGTTACTGAACAAAACCAAGAGAAAAAAACAAGGTAAAAATAAAAGATGACCATTGCTAGAAGGCAATTTTTAAATTTTCTGATGCAAATATATTTAAACTAATAAAGCATGGCCGAATGTTTTTTGAATGACCCAGAGTCTAACCCAAATCAGTCTGTCTTCTGGATTCTCAAGAGCATCAAGAAGATGCATTGGTTGTATGGCACTGGGGATTTTCCTCAACAGCTGTCTTACAACTGCATTGATTAAGTACTTACTACGTGAAGACACCGGGCTGAGTGCTGGGAGGTGAGGGTGGGAAGCGGGGCAAGGACATGTGGAGGAGTTTCGAAGATGAATAAGGCAAGTTCACTTTCCTAATCTCAGGAGCAAATGCATTAACCTTATCCCTGTTCTTACCACACACTATGTGGAGGGCAGGGGTGGGATGATAAGGAAAAGAGCTGTATGGGGTGAGGGGTTGCACACACGGGGAGAGGAGGGTGAGGGTATGTGATCCTTCACCCCAGTGGCCTTTCAGCCATTCCTTAGGCTTCTTTCCACTCTCAATGTTTCTGAAGCACAATGAGGAATCCACTTGGGTAACCAACACAGGAAGTGGGAGGGTGGAGATGGTGTTTGGTGAGACCTGTGGAAAATGAACACTGTTCCTTCAATTTCCTTTAATATTCTAAGCAAATGGCTCAGTTATACAGACAACAGCCTTAGGATGACTGTACAGTCAAGAACAGAGATGAGGTAATGACCTGGTGAGACCACCTACACTCAGCCCAGAGCTCCCACACAGCTCCAAAGAGACAGCCACTCTGTTCAAGTGGAGCCCAGACAAGGTGGGGGTGGGCACTGGAGGAGGCTAGAGACACAGACCTGAGTCACAGATGCCTCATCCTGGACAGGAGATGGGAGAGCAGAGATTTAACTCCTGTTTCTGAGGGATTCTTAGTCCAAATCCCTGGGGAATACAGGAATTAGGTTGGTACTAAGTCTGGAAACCCAGCAAATGCACCATTGTAGATGAGTTCAAGGGGCATTTCACACCACATGTGTCAACAGTCAGAGAAGGTAAAGACAGTGGTGTCCTGTCAAAGCAATGAGATACCCACAATCAAGGCATCTTAAGATGCAATTTTCTGTGGGCTGACTTTGCTCATTCCCCTCCCCTTGGTGACCAGAAGGAAGGAAACTCTTGCTTTTTGAAAGAGGAACCAAGAGGAAGGGGGTCTCCAGACCAGTCTTCCCAGTTCACTTGCCCAGGGCCCTCTGTAGGGTGGAAAGTGGTGCCAGGGAGACAATCAGCTTCCATAGTCCCCAACAGGAGCCATGATGTGTGATACAAGTGCCACGATTGGGAGATGAGCCCTCTCCATGGAGCCGAAATAGAGCTTTCTCTCCTGTCCCCAACATAAGAAGCAAGTGCTTTCCCCTCTGCCATCCCTCATCTACTGTGCCAGTCCAGGGTATAGTGACCCAGGACCTCAGAAGGCTTTGCAGAGAAACACAGAAGAGACACACTGAAATATTTTTGATTGGTTACAGTGTTACATATAAACAGCGTAGGCAGAATACTGCATGAAATTGGAGAGGGAAAATAGAAAATAAATCTCTGTTTTTTCCCTAATATGAATATACATTAGAATATTTCTTTGGCAAAAATAACATTTAATTTTTAAAAAAACACGTAATTACATAAAAAGAATTGGAATGAGAAAATAACATGTCAAAAAAATTAACTATCACAAAAGATTAAAAAACGAAGGGTTAATAATTTTAATACTATTAAGCTATTTATTTTTAAAAAAATCATTATTCATCTAACAAACAGAATGGCAAAGGTCTTCAATTTCTTTTCTCACCTCTCTCCCTTCATGAAGATAGGGATTCACCATTTGGAATTCAAGAGATATAGGCAGAAAGAGGGTAAATATAGGCTTTTATTTTTCATTTCAGTGTTTTTATTTTTTATGATGAAATACTTCAAACATACAGAAAAGAATGAGGCATCCATATACCAGCCACCTAGACCTAATTTTAATACTATTAAGCTATTTATTTTTAAAAAAATCATTATTCATCTAACAAACAGAATGGCAAAGGTCTTCAATTTCTTTTCTCACCTTTCTCCCTTCATGAAGATAGGGATTCACCATTTGGAATTCAAGAGATATAAGCAGAAAGAGGGTAAATATAGGCTTTTATTTTTCATTTCAGTGTTTTTATTTTTTATTATGAAATATTTCAAACATACAGAAAAGAATGA